AAATTAGATTTAAAGGCATGTTAAATAAATTAAAAGAAAAATAATATAAAATGTTAGACTCATGAAGGGTTGGCTGTAAATAAATAATTACTGAGTTTTGTGAATAGAAAAATAAATAAAGTTAGAAATTATTTAATTAGCATAAATAAATATTTTACTGGATTCTTTAAATTTACACTAAAATTAGAACTAAATTCACATTTAGGCATCTAAAATAGGTCCCCCCCCCCCCCCCCCCCCCTTAACAATAATATTTTTTATTTACTTTTAAAAAAATATTTTAAGAATTAAATAACCTACAATTTTATTTTAACTAATTTATTTTGATTATTATTGCTTCTTTTCAAAAATAATATTTTGTAAAATTTACTCAAATAAAAAAACACTAATTTTACCAAATATTCTTAAATATGCTTCAAATAATTAAACTAGCCAACTTTTTTTAAATAGGTAATTATTGTTTGCAAGATCCAAATTAATTAGAAAATTTGCAGTGTCTCAAATGCCCTATAGGTTCTAAAAATTGTTATTCAAATATCATACAGTTATAAAATGGGTATTGGAGTAAGAACTAAAATTCAGACTAAATTTACTAATGTATTAACCCATAAATTTGTATCCCTGAAGACCCTTCAAATAAGTTTGGATGCTCAATAGGACATGTAGGAGCTATTTGTGAATCTTGTGATTCTTATGGAATTGTTTGGGGATCAAAATACGGAAGAAGTAATGGCGGAATATAATGCTAAGAATGCTCTAAGCAGAATTCAATTTACTCTATCCTCATTCTATTTTTGCTTTTGATAATAATTTGTGCTTATTTAATCTTCTAAATTTAAAGATAGTTGATATTAACATAAAAAAAAATGGAGTGGTTTTATTTGAGAAAGCTTAAAATAATTTTACTATAAAATGAAAACATTAGTAGTGCTTCTTCTTACATCAAAATTCTTATCAACTATTTATAGTTTATAGCATTAATAAATAACTTAGGTATATAGACTTAATAATTTATCTCTGTTGCTGAATTTGGAGGTGGTGATCCTGTATAGCATACAGT